CTCTTCTCTTCTCTTCTCTTCTCTTCTCTTCTCTTCTCTTCTCTTCTCTTCTCTTCTCTTCTCTTCTCTTCTCTTCTCTTCTCTTCTCTTCTCTTCTCTCTCTTCTCCCTTTACTTCCCTTTACCTCCCTTTTCGCTAGAGCTTGCTCCTCTTTTTATTGTTTTTTTTTGTTGATTTTTGTTGCAGTAATCTTCATGTCATCACATTCTGCATGTTGATCAGGGGCTCTTCTTTCTATACACATTCATGTATAGAACACATTCTACACATATTCATGCATAGAAAGAACATGAATGGCCAGTGCTACTTCCAAAAGCCCCTGCAGGAGAGTCTTGCCCAACCCCAGCAAACCCACAGCAGATGCTCACTGCACTTGGGTTTTTCAGACACTAGAATGTGAAAACACCATTCTGGCCAGGGGTGGGTGTTTACATTTTTAATGGAAACAGTCTGAGATATTCCCCACTCCTCCCAAGTCTCGGTGCAAATCCCTTGCCAAATTTGGATTTTAGAACATGGAGATGCTAGGGTTTCTCAGTCATGCTGTCCAACAAATTTGTTTATCACAGGCACGATGATGTATTGTTCCCCAATCGCATTCTGCAAATAATTGACTCGGCTATTTTAAAAATCAGCTTCAGGCTGAGACTCCAATCATAGAAAAAATGAATCACAAATTAGTTAAAATTTGACAAGGTCATAAAGTATCGAAAGCCAGAATCTTTTGCTGTGTAATGATGGACAAATTTACTGCTTTTTGCTACTCACACTGCTTATAATTTAGATTTGCTCAGTGCTTCTCTCCAAAAAATACATCAGAAGCAAAACTATGATGTGCTTACTGTGTTTTAAGTTGTGCACAAAACAGCATGCTTTTTATTTTTTCCCCTTCTTGGCTCATTTCCCCTCAGATTCAACAGAAATCCCCACGTTATTTCAAGAGCTCCAGTGACTAAACAATAGATGTGTCTATTTCTTTTGAGTCTTAAGTAGAGAAGAAAAATGAAGCTTTTTTTTCCCTCTATCAATCGACACTGTTAAGCCTCCCAGGAGGAGAAAGCAGCCACTGCGGGGGGCCAGTATCGAAGCTGAAGAACAAAGATGAAAGGTGAAGAGACACTTCTGTTTACAGCAGCATGGGCTGGACTAATATGCTGGAGAATACATCAAAGCCACCGCTAATGCCAAGTCGGGGTATCTTTTCTAACAACTAGAATGAGGAAATACTTTATGGACTACCACCTCAAATAAAACTTTGCAAGGTGCTCTCGTTTGACTGCGGAGCATTTGACCTTTCAATCTCTCGTTGTTAATAGAGCCTGATCTGGACGTGGCTTTATTTAAAAAGAGTTTAACTCATTTAAGAGTTGAGTCTTTGGTCATCTGCTCAGACTCTTTACACAAGCTCACAGCAATATGTATGTCTGCTCCTTGTGAAGCTCTCCCAGGAGTTCACACATCCACATGCAGAGGTTTGAACACACAGAGGTTTGAACACAGAGCTCAGAGCATCCTGGGGAAGCAGACAGTTCCGATCATTTCCATTTTGCCAAGTCAGGAGGTTTAACAGGGGTTAGGTGATTTGCCCAAGGTTTCACAAAGCCCCTGAGGCAAACTGAGGAAAGAATTCATTTCTCTTGACGCCCAGTTCTGTTCTCTGTCCGCAAGGCTGCCTGTTTTCCCGCTAGCCTGCAGACTACGGCATGGGATGAAGGCCGTATTGATTCTAGGGCTGGCTGTTGCAGCAGCAGCAGCAGCACAGCTGCCTCGCTGTCGGCTTTGGGGCAGGTTCTGTTTAGATGACACTCATTAAACTTCGGTTGATTTTAGTGCTACGCATCTCCCCTGGACAGAATCTGACACTGAAAGGTATTGAGTTTTAAGCCTAAATGTACATACGCAGATATCAATACCAGAATACAATTTGTTGCTGGTTGATAAACGACAAGTGCGTAATAACAAATAATGATGCATCGTAATAACCAATAATACACGCATGTATTCAACAAATAAATAGAGCGGAGGTGCAGAGATCTGTTGTTTGCTGCACGTGGCCGCTTTCACCTTGCACGCAAGCCCACGCTGGGTGCCCAGCCCAGCTGGGAAGCCGGAGCTGCTGGGCGCTCTCCCAGCCCTGCTCGGGCGACGGGATTTGCCCCCGCTGTGCTCAAGCTCCCGAGCGCAGCTCGCCCTGCAGAGACAACAGATCAATTGAAGTCCCTCCGTTTCGGCAAGCTGAGGAGGAACAGAAACAGATGAATGAGCGCCTGATAACTCCCCTCCCTCGTACGCTCACCCAGTGGGGTTTTTCTTTTCCCTCTCAACCCAATTTCAAATGTAAAACAGCTTCTTAGACTGTGTCCTCTGGCTGGTAGTGACCCCCCACAGGTAAATTTGAAAGGTTTCGAGGGTCAGTTAAAACAATAATATTTTATTGCTGAGAAATCTACCGAAGGAAGAGGAGCGAGATGAGCACTGTGCTGCTCGTGGTTTGACAGGCAATTGAAGCTGGCGCAGGACCCGTCATCCAGTACGACAGCAGCCTTTAAACATTTTGCTTTTTTTCCCCCAAGCCTCCCCCATCATTAACTTCCCCGAGAAGCCTCTGGGTTCAGCCCCACCGCTGCAGCTTGGCAGCCCCCCGGCTGCATTCTAGCAGCACTGGGAAACTCCATTCAGGCACGTCTTAAAGCTGGCCAGGGAGGTGATCTCTTGTCTAAGCGGTGCACGGT